AAAAGGCACAGGAAGACAAATTAAAAGGGCAAGCGTACAAAAACAAAATCCAATCAGCCTCAAACTCTCTTCATTTCTAGATATTAAACTGAATCCCTGTGTGTGCCTGATTTCACATGAAACTGGGTCAGAGATCCGCAAATCTTAGCATCTCTGCACATAATTCAAGACTTTTAATTAATTCATTTAACATTGAATTGAAAGACATGCTGGCCACTACTCAAACTGTCTAGTTCAGAAAAATAGCGTTAATTACTTGAATTGCCTTTCTCCAGTTTGAAACCAGCCCAGTCCTTACCTTGGTTTGAGTTGGTTCACCTTTCTCAAACATCATCTTAAGCCTGTTCAGCGGAACATTATATTTCTCTATTTTGTTTGCAGCTTCTGTGTTTTCACTGATTTCGGGTTTTCCTACTTCATGCCTGGATTCTCCTAGACAATTTTCCATTTTTTTACTTTCTTTCGAGTGGTCTTTAAGATGCTCACTGCCCTGGGTGCGGGGATACGGATACCGATTGAGGGCTTCAGAAGGCGATCCTAGTCTAGGTCTGGGATGGACGGGTTCTTCTTGGTCAGCTTCGGCCCCAGAGGCAGACCTTCTTGCCACTTCACCGGGAGGACGGTTGCCTCCGTGTCTGACCTCAGCGCTGCCGTTTTGCAGGGAGTCCGTGTGAGACTCCGTTCCCAGGGCTGGGTTCTCCCACTTCTTCTTTAACACAGTCAGGATCCCCCTTCTAACGTGCTGGGGGAGATTTTCAGTGTTCTAGAAGAACAAGAAGTAAGTGCCAGTTATAACTTGCCTGTTGAAACATTCAAACATGTTGTTCTTTGTAAAATGAAAGTTAAAACTCTAAGCTGCTCCTGGTCCACTGGCGTTTCGGACAGCTGGGAACAGTTACAGTCCTGCCACATGGAGAAAGCATCCACCCCGGGAGAGGGAGAGGGGAAGAGAGAAAAAGTCAGGAGCTGAAGCAGGAAGTGATAAAACAGGATAGCCTTATAAGGACAAAATGAGAAGAAAGGAGAGCCCAGATCTAATGAGACGAGGGATTTTTATCCAGAGATTAATAAGAAAAACAAGAAAGAAAAAGCAAAATACTAGGTACTTTAAATACCACAAATCTGCATTAATACAAGTTCCTCATTACATACCACAAAATTACATGGTGAATCTTTTTCTTCTTTTAAATAAAACAAAGAGGCAGTGTAGCTGAAACCACCCAATACCAATAATCATCAGGGATTGAAACTATTGAAAGAAACTGAAAGAACTCACCAGACTTTTACATGTATTTGCATAAATTATATTTCATCATATCTGACATAATCTACGGGCATATGAACAATCAAATTCTATTTTTACATAAGAACCTAATCCTCTTTTTTCCCCTGCTCTTCGCTACATGTTTGTCCATGTGTAAATTCTCAGTTATCAGGAAATTTACTACTTCACAGATCCTTTGGTAGAAAAACACCCAAGCTTCATATGAAAACACCACCACCCACTTTCTTGATTGAAGGACACACGTTTTCACATCTCAGGGAGTGCCACTTTCACCTGGGTCGAAACGGAACGAATTTATACATAAGACAGATTGCAAACAACCTGGAAACTGCCACTGTTGTTCTTCAAGAACCGAGGAAATGTGCTTGATGAAGTGAAATTCCATGTCCCAGACTCTGAAAGCTTTCCTATAAATAAAGCGAACAGCCCCAGTTCCCAACAAACCACGAACTCCAGTACCTTCGCGCTCTCTCCGTTCCTGTGGTCTGTGACTCACCCGTCTTTCTACAAAGAAAGGACAAACCACCTAGGACTGAAAGACTTCGGGGAATTAAACAGGATTAGCAGCTATATTGGGAATTAAGTCTCTCACCCTATTATTCTTCTGAATTCACTTCATCAAGTAGCACCAAGATTTGGAAAAAAAAAAAAAAAAAAAACTTACAGAAGAACAACTGCCTGATTTTAGTGTTTAAATCTTTACTGACAAGATGATTCACTGGTGGAAGCATGAACGGATCAGAGATACAAGAAGCCCCCAAAAATTTTCTTGTTGGAAAAGAATTAAAAAACTGCTCTGGACACTGGTGCTGCCTTAACTCTGGCAACATGCTTTGCTCAATGCTACCTTCTGCCACACAATGGATGAGTCATCCCGGTCTCCAACTTCACCTGCCCTGCCCTTGCCCTGCCTAAATAGGAGCCCTGAGAATCTAAGTGGCATTTTGTCTTGGGAACTGGACACTACTTTTCTCAGTAACGATGTGATCAGAGTGCATTTACTGACATGGAAAGATGCTCGTAAGATGCTTTTGAGCGGAAAAAAGCAAATTATAAGACAGCATAATCCCACTTTATAATGCACATGTGTATTTATAAATATAAGCAGAAACATAGCTGGAAGAAAAGACATCAGGATGTTAATAAGTTACCTTTGGATTGTGGATTGTGGGCGTTTGTATTTTTTTTCTTTCTTTTTACAATAAATGTGTATTTGTTATTTAATAAAAATGAATAAAAAATAAAACTATACATCATCATCCTATCACAAAAATCTGCTACAGAATATTAAAACTTTTTTGATGTTAATGTAAGCAGCTTGAAAATGACCATTTCTACTTTACTTGTGATGACCAGGGAGGGAGGGATCTGTGGGATGGAGTAACGGCAGTGTCCCAAAACGGGTATGGGTGGAGGACATCCCTTAGGGGACATCGTAGCTAGGAGTAAATGTGCTCTTTTATTAAAAGGAGTTCTTTTGTTTTCTGTTTTTGTGAGAGAGAGAGAGAGAGAGCTCAAGTGGGGAAGGGGGGCAAAGAGAGAGGGAGAGAGAGAACAATCTCAAGCAGGCTCCACACTCAGCACAGAGCCCCAACACAGGGCTGGATCCCACGACCCTGGGATCATGACCTGAGCTGATATCAAGAGCTGGATGCTCAACCGACTGAGCCACCCAAAGCGCCCCTAAAAGGAGTCCTTAAAGGAAACAGGTCCAAAAGTGTTGAAGTGGGGACAAAAAGGGCTGCATGGTCGGACAGCGTTAAAGGCCCCGTACCCTTAAATCACTCTTGGCAACATACCCAGGCAACGCCAGGTGTCCAGGTCTTTAGGATGTGAGGAGAGCAAAAAATGGGGAAGCAGCAGTGGTTACAGGCTTTCTGGGGAAGGTAAGGCAGCAAGAAGGTGTAGAACAAGAGCAATTGCTAAAAGCAGTCTGGACAGCACGATGGCCTGGGCTATCACTGGATAAGGCATAATGGGCCACTTCTATTTTCTTCTCTTTATCTGTATTTTCTACAACAACAGCTGTTACTAGTATAATCCAGCCCCACCCAGCCAAGTGACCTTGGGCAAGTTTAATTTCTGCAACCCACAATCCTGGGCTAGTATGGAGAACAGATGTGACTACATTAAAGCATGTAGTGCAGTATGTGACATAAACAGGCACCCAATTTAGTGGTGACAATTAATATTATGTGGGTGGCCCTCCCTACTCCTCCAGCCATACCTCATGATGATCAAGCACAGTAAGTAGCCAGTCATCTCCCAAATCCTGAACTTGGGTTACAGTCTCTTCTTGTTCTTTCTCTTTACAGTCTCCACTGTACCAGAGTAGGGGTGTGGGGCACAAAATAAGGTGAAATTCTAGTTGATGTCCTTTGTATCAAGGGTTTAACTTTGTCCCAAGTAGTTTCCTAGAGTAGGCAGTGGGAAGTCATGGAGACTGCAAGGTTTCAAGGACCTTGTTACTTGCTACATTACTGTAGCTTCCTCTCTCAAAGTGACATCCAGAACGCTGTTCACTCTACCCTGCAAGGCTGAGAATCTTGGCAGATTTGCCTCTGGATCAGAACTGGCTGCCTGAATCCAGATTAGGCACAACCTGGAAATGCAACACAATGTCTTCTGCAGGAACATTTGACTTTGGGATGTGTCCCAGCACTGTCATTCTGAGATGTATGGCCTTGGATAAGTCCTTTCCTCTCTTTGTCTCAGTTATTCCACCCGTAAAATAGAGGCTGGGTCAAATGAGCTTTAGTGTTGAAATCTTAGCAGGGGTATCTTCATCTTAAAAGCAGGAGGATGTTTGGTAGGAGACAGCAGTGGAGTTGGAAATATGGACTACCTGAATGTATAGCCTCCAAGGAAGGGAAGAAATTCCTAGGCTGAGAGACTCTCAGAAAAGTGGTAGCTAGGCATTATGGAGATGAGTGACCAAAGCATAGATTTCAAGAAGTGCTATATTGCATGCTTGAAAAGAACCTGAAAATATAACTGATGGCAGTATTAATGGTCTTTATTTCTGTTTCCTAGATGTATGTGGAAGAGGAAGAGAAAAGGAGAAGTAAACTTCTGGGAATCTAGGCTATCATATAACCTGATCCCACTATTTGCTAAAGGAATAAATGTACCCTCTTGCTCCCGAATGTTTCTCTAAGTTGCTTTCCATGGTAGAATACAAGTATTCTTTCATCTGATCAGTCACTTCTACTGATTTATATGGATATTTCTCCCTGTTCTTCAGGAGACAATTCAGACTTCTGACAAGGCTAGTGGATTTGTCCAAAAGTAACCTAACCCTTCGGCGTCTGGGTGGCTCAGTCGGTTAAGCGTCCGACTTAGGCTCAAGTCAAGATCTCATGGTTTGTGAGTTCGAGCCCCACATCGGGCTCTGTGCTGACGGCTCAAAGCCTGGATCCTGCTTCGGATTCTGCATCTCTCCCTCTCTCTCTGCCCCTCCCCTGCTCGAGCTCTGTCTCTCTCTCAAAACTAAACAAACATTAAAGAAAAAAAAAAAAGCAACCCCTCTGTCATTAGTGGGAAAAACTGGTGAGATTTGAATAAATTCTATAGTTTAGTTAATAGCATTGTATCAGTGAATTTTTTAGTTTTGATAAATGTTTCAGAATTATGCAAGATGTTAACATTAGGGGGAGGTAAGTAGAGGCATATCAGAATTCTCTGTAATATTCTTTTTTTTCTTCCAAATTTTTATTTAAATTCTAGTTAGTTAACATATAGTGTACGACTGGTTTCAGGAGAATTTACTGATTTGTCACTTACATATAAGACCCAGTGCTCATCATAACAAGTATCCTCAATACCCATCACCCATGTAGTCCATCCCCCACCAATCTCCCTCCATCAACCCTCAGTTTGTTCTCTATCCTTCAGAGTTTCTTATGGTTTGCATCCCTCTCTTTCCCCCCCTTCCCATATGTTCATCTGTTTTGTTTCCTAAGTTCCACATATGAGGGAAATCAGATGGTATTCGTCTTTCTGTAACTGACTTATTTCACTTAGCATAATACACTCTAGCTCCATCCAAATCGTTGCAAATGGCAAGATCTCATTCTTTTTGATGGCTGAGTAATATTCTGGTGTGTGTGTGTGTGTGTGTGTGTGTGTGTGTGTATACACCACATATTCTTTATCCATTCATCAGTCCATGGACACTTGGACTCTTTCCATAGTTTGGCTATTGTTGATAATGTCTCTGTGCTATCTTAATAACTCTAGTGTAAATCCAAAATTATTTAAAAATTAAAAGTGTGTTTAAAAAAAAAGTAACCATCCCTCAACTTTTGCATCTTCCTTTATCTCTTGCATTTTATAGTTAAGGGTCTTGAAAGCACTGTCTGTAGTTGCTATTTCTACTTGAACACTCTATATTCACACTAACTCTACTGCCCAAACACTTCTGAAGTAGCTCCAGTCAAGATCACTGATTAGGTCTCTAATATTTTCATTTTACAATCTTATTATTAATAATTTTTCCCAGTTACAAAAGTAATAAAAATCTCATTGGGGGAAAAAAGTCACAGTCAATACAGGAATGTACACATGCCTTGAATGTATGCTCTTATTTTCCCTATTTGACTTCCCTATGCCTGCCACCCAAGATACCCACTGCCAATGATTTGGTGCATATGCTCTCAAATTTTTTAACCTATTTTTATATACTCTATTTTTTTAGATACTATATTTACATGTGAAGATATCAAAAAGCATGTTAAGTGATTAAAGCAAGGTGTCGAACAGTATAGTATGGTAACTATACTAACAGTATGTGAGAGTTCATATTTCCTCACATGCTAATTATTATCCAATAAAAAAATCTGCCAACTGTTCAGATTACAATTTTTATCTCATGGTTATTTTAATTTACACTTTTTATTATTATTAGTGAGGCTAAGCATTTTTTTTCATGTTTATTGTTTCGTCTTTTTTTATTAAAAAAATTTTTTTTGTTTGTTTAGTAAACTCTACTCCCAATGTGGGACTTGAACTCACAACCTAGAGATCAAGAGTCCCGTAGCTCTACCAACTGAGCCAGCCAGGTGCCCCTATTTTTTCTTTTTTAATTACCTACTCGCATCCTTTTGCCTCAATTGGCAAATGCAGTGGAACACTTCTGCTTTATTTTAATTGATCCCTCTATAGCATTTGACATTACTGACTACCCCTCTGCTTTTAAAAAATTCCCTCGTTCCATGGCTTTTGTGAGATACCCCTTTTTTTCTAGGGTTCTTCCCATTTCTCTGGCCACTCCTCAGTCTTCTTTATAGGTTTCCCTTCCTCTGTCTCTACCTTGTATGCTGGGGTCCCTCAAGGTTCTGTCTTAGGTCCTCATTGTTCACTTACATATTCCCTGTAGATGACGTCATCTACCTTCTGGTTTTACCCACCAGTTGCCTAGAGATGACTCAGACCCTATAACTCTAGCCAGATCCCTCTCCATACCTGGAATTCTATCTGGAAATCCTATAGACATCTTACACTTATCCTTGCCTAAGGCTGAAGTCTCCTTTCTCCTCTCTTTACCTCTCACCCTTTATTTATTTTTTTTTTAACGTTTTTTTTTTTTTACTTATTTTTGAGACAGAGAGAGACAGAGCATGAACAGGGGAGGGGCAGAGAGAGAGGGAGACACAGAATGGGAAGCAGGCTCCAGGCTCTGGGCCACCAGCCCAGAGACCGACACAGGGCTGGAACTCACGGACCGCGAGATCGTGACCTGAGCTGAAGTTGGACGCTTAACCTACTGAGCCACCCAGGCGCCCCTACCTCTCACCCTTTAATCTGTTTCTTTTCTTGAACTCTCCATCTTGGTGGATGTGACAATCATCTTTTCAAATGTCAAATGTGCCCGTTCTCATGTGTCCATGCTGTGCATGTGTCACTTGCTCTGCCATTTCCTTGCCCCCTTTGCTTGACTAATTCCTATTTATCCTTTGGGCTTAGTCAGGCGCCACTTCTGGGAAGCCTTCCTTGACATGGTATAGTCCAGGTTAAAAGTTTCTCCTAAACTTTCCCCCAGCACCATAAGTATTTCTCTAACATGGTACTTACTGCACTGGGATTATAAACTCTATTTTCCACATTCTAAATAGTCCCTTGAAGGCAAGGACCACATCTTATTCCTCTTTGTGTTTCAGCACCTGGCACCTAAGAGAGGCTCCACAAGTGTTTGTCTACACTCGTGGTATCAACTTTTATCATCCCCCTGTCTTGAACCTACTTCAGTCAGGCCTCCCAAACAGCACAAGGTGACCAATGACCTTCATGTTGCTCCAACAGTCAGTTCTCAGCTTTTTCTGGGTGTTTGATGATAACTCTCCTTTTAGAAGCACTTTCTTGGGGCACCTGGGTGGCTCAGTTGGTAAAGCATCCGACTCTTGATTCTGGCTCAGGTCATGATCTCACGGTTGTGAGTTTGAGCCCCACATTGGGATTGCAGAGTGAAGAGCCTGCTTGGGATTCTCTCTCTCCCTCTCTCTCTGCCCCTCCCGTGCTCTCTCTCTTTCTCAGAAGCAAAACAAAACTTTTAGAAGCACTTTCTTCACTTGGCTTCTGGCACCCAGACTCTTGTTTCTGCTGTCGTTTTACCAGCTGCTCCTACTCAGTCTCCTTTGCTGGTTCCTCCTTATCTCCCAACTTGAAACATCAAAGTGCTCTTGAGCTCAGTCCTCAGACCTCCCCTCTATCTCCTTTCACTCCCTAAGTGATCACATGCATCTCATGTCTTTAAATACCATGGATACTTTGATACACACACATCCTATCTCCAGCTCACATCTCTTCCAGTTTCAAGTTCTTATAGAACATCTCTACATAGGGGGCACCTGGGTGGCTCAGTCAGTTAAGGGTCCGACTCTTGATTTCGGCCCAGGTCACGATCCCAGGGTTGTGGGATCGAGCCCCACATTGGGTGCTGTGCTGAACATGGAGCCTACTTGGAATTCTCTCTCTCTCTCTCTCTCTCTCTCTCTCTCTCTCTCTCCTGTTCTCTCTGCCCCTTCCCTGTTTGTTCTCTCTCTTTCAAAAATAAATAAACATTAAAAAAAAATCTCTACTTGGAAGTCTTAAAGCATTTCACATTTAACATGCCCCAAACTGAGCTTCTACCATTTTCCCTTCTCTAAACCTGCTTTTCCTACAGACTTCTTCATCTCAATTAATGTTATTTTTCCAGGTGTTTGAGCCAAAATTATTTTTGCCATTCGCCATTTTTCTCTTTTTCTACTTTCAGTATAAATCCTGACCACTTCTCATCACCTATATAACTACTCCAGTCCAGTCCATTATCATCTCTTGCCTAAATCACAGCAATTGTTTTATAATTTGTCTCCATGCATCTGCCATTGTTCCTAGAATTTCTTCCTCCTCTTTTTAAAATTTAAGTCAGATAATATCACTCCTTTGCACACAAACCCTCTGAAGGCCCCCATGTGATCAGACTTAAAGCCCTGGTCCTCGTAGTGGCTATGATTTTGCTTTTCCTATTCCTCAAACACATCAACAAAGTTCCTGCCTCAGGGCATTTGCATGTGCTCTTCCTTCTGCCCTAATCATTCTTCTCCCTGGTTCGTATCTTCAGATCTCTACTCCAGTGTCCCCTCATCAGAGGTGTTCCTGGACCACCCTACATTCTATCCCTCCTACCCACTTTGTGTTGTTTCTTAGCATTAACCACCACCTGACAAAATTTCTTTATTGTCCGTCTCTCCCACTATCGCAAACTCCATGACGGAAGAATCGTAGTCTGTATTAGTGCCTAAAACAGTGCTTGGCACCTAGTAGGTGACCCGTGAATACTTGCTAAATGAACCACTGAAAGAAGGAAGGAAGAAAAGAGGAAGGGGAAAAATAACAGGCGGGAGAGAGAGGAGGAAAGAAACCAGCAGTTGAGTGAAATGATGGTAGCTTTTGCTTACAGTGGACCACAAGGGACCCATTTTTTAATTACAGGAAAATTACGCCAAAGACCTGGTCAACATTACCCCCTTCGAGAGAACAAATTGACAGGGGCACGTTATGCACTAACTTAAATAGGTTAGGTACTAAAAACCACTAGGAGGATGTTTCTGTAATGCCAGCCAAATTAAAGAATTCTTACCCAAATAAGTGAGATTTTTTTTCCTCACAAGATTAAATCAAGTAAGATTTCAAAAGAAATACATTCTCCAGCCCAGCTGGAAGCTAGCCAGCAGGGAGAGTAGAGAATGAGAGCAAAAGAGCTTGTTCTAAGGTTTTAGCCTTTGATGGATCCTGCAGCTAAGAAACTTGCTAACTAGACTGGGTCAAGAAGTGTGCTTTAAACAAAGAACCCCAGGATGACGACAGCGGCACAGCTGCTACCATTTAAATGCAGAAATACAGAAATTCTGGTTGTTTGATTTGGAACAAGGGATGGAACCTAGGAAACCCTGTATTCTAATTTAAGCAGAATTAGTAAGCCATTTTACTAACCTCGGGCAAAGCACTTGGCCTTCTATCTTTCACTCAACTCAGGGAAGAGAAAGGGGTTCAAAAGGAGAACCTCAGTGGAAAAATAAGATTCCCTGCACCTGAATCACGTCCTCATGAGTAAATGGCTCACAAATCAGAGCAGCTGGCACCATTGCCTGGCTCAGCTGACATGGAGCCCGAGCCCCACAGAGGCTGCAGGTGGCTGGACCACGCAGGCTTTATCAAGAAGTTCCACATGCCCTGGGGCTCCTCAATACTTACACTTCTTCTCTTTTCCATGTTTGCTTCTTCAGCGGCTTTCTGGTACCTTCAGAGAAGGGGGGGGGGAGAAAGAGAATGTTCTCAAATTAAATTTATGTTTTTACTTTTTTTTTTTAATGTTTATTTATTTTTGAGAGAGCACAAGCAGGGCAGGGGCAGAGAGAGAGGGGGACAGAGGATCTGAAGCGGGCTCTGCACTGACAGCAGCAAGCCCAATGTAGGGCTCGAACTCATGAATCGCGAGATCATGACCTGAGCCGAAGTCGGAGGCGCAACCGATTGTGCCACCCAGGTGCCCTGTTTTTACTTTTTTATCCTTTAAGAAAACCACTTCTGCCTACATATTTCTGCCAGCAAGTGTCTTTAATCAACTCCAGCAGAAGAAGCAGAGAATCAGAGCAGCCCTCACTTCCTGCACTGGTACAGACATCCGGTCTGGTCTAACAGGTCCAAGGCGAGCAGGTCAAACGCTGGGAAATAACTAAATAGAGCAGAAAGTCTGGGGTTTAAATCCCCCTTTGATGTCTCATTAACTGTGATCACTTAACCTCTGTAAACCTCAGTTTCCTTATCTAGAAAATGGCTTTATAGATCTCCTGTCAAGGTTGCTGTGAGGGTTAAATGAGATCACGTGCATAAAAAACACTTTGCAATTAGCCAAAGGATGTAACATGGCATTGAACGAGGATGCACATTTCCCCCGGGCACTAATGCCTCTGAAATCTTACAGTTCTTGCCAAATGATGGAGAGCTATCACACTGCCTGTGCATGTGTGAGTGTAATCTAAATTCTTGGTATTGTCACTTTAGCTCAATGTAGTTGATGGTATTACACATATTTTAAATGCCACTGAAAATGTCTTTAAAGAAATTACATGTGATTTGGCACTTAAAGAAAAACTGTTTTTACTGTTTTAGGTATGAATAAGGGTGATATGTGAGGAGAAAAGTTTATGTGCTAAGCAAGCACTGGTCCTTTTAATTGGCAGTGTTTTTGTATTTTTCTGAGTGATGCATAAAATAGTGGCAAGGCTACAGTGGATGGCATTTTAGATTTGATAAACAAGCATGTATAATTTAATTATTTTAATTTTATGATTACTTTCATCATTTTTCTTTTTTTTAATTTTTAAATGTTTTTATTTATTTTTGAGACAGAAAGAGAGCATGAGCAGGGGAGGGGCAGAGAGAGGGGGAGACACAGAATCTGAAGCAGGCTCCAGGCTCTGAGCCATCAGCACAGAGCCCGACGCGGGGCTCAAACTCACAAGCCGTGAGATCATGACCTGAGCCGAAGTCAGACGCTTAACCGACTGAGCCACTCAGGCTCCCCTGAAATAATCTTAAAAAAAATAATAAAGGGGTTCTCTAGAGGCTGTGTGGAGAACGGACTAGGGGGGGCCGACAAAGGAGGTGGCATTAATGAGAGGTGATGCTGGCTTGGCCCAGGGTGGTGACACTGGAGTGAAAGAAAAGTGAGTAGGCTTGAGATGTATTTCAGAGGTAGAATCAACAGGACTGGTAGTGAGGGAAGGGGGAAGAAGCAGTCAAGAACAAGTCCCAGGTTTTTGGCAGCTGAGTTCATGGAATTACTGTTAACTGGGATGGGGAATTCTGAAGGAGGAGCAAATCTGGGGATGGGGAAGATAAAGAGTTCAGCGTTAGCCATGTTAACTAACTAGCAATATAAATTTAGGACTTGTCTGTCCACAGATGGTATTAAAGCCACGGGAATACACGATATCACCTACAAGAGTGTGCACTGTGAGAAGAGGTCCTGGAGACTAACATTTTAGCAGTCAAAAGGGGATGAAGAGGTCATAAGAGACAATGACAAGGAATAGACAGAGAGGTAGCAGACAACCAGGAAACTGGCAGAGAAGCCAAGAGAAGGAAAAATGTGGGAGGCACAAAGTGCTGAGAGGTCATGTGATACCAAGGCTACCAACACCTGGGTTTAGCAACACAGCAGCCTCTTGTAACCCTGGCAATCCTCTTCCATTATAAATATAATTAATTTACCCACACTCCTTTTATGTGCATTTGGATTATTTCCAGCTTTCCACCATTACAAGTAGTACTTTGGTGAATGTCCTTGTGCATATATTTTCCCCCTTCCTTGTACTAATATGTCTGTCTGAGAGTCCCTAGAAAGGGAAATGCGAGAGAAAAGTGGATTATAGATAGAAATGAACTTACAATTGGCCTTGGCCCTTGTTTCCACACCCCCTGGGTAATCATCTACAGTATATTACAGTGATAACACAATATATGGGAGCCAGAGCCAATCAGCAGACAGGTTTATTCTTAGTCAATTGTTCTCCAAGGCAAAGTATTTGCACTGTGGTTAGTTGAGTAAATAGGCTCAAAGGTTCCCTTCCCTTTTCTGTCTTAACAGAAACATAGACTTAAAGAAATAAGACCAGAATAATTTTCATCTTCAGTCCTCTCCTTTTAGCACAGAGGCATCTGAAAGACACAGGTATATCTGCCGCTGGCTGTCTTGAATTTTGTTTTGAAACTCCACTCCAATATCCCCGTCCTTTATTTAGAATGAAGTACTTGCTAAATATTAGATATGCAGGGAGAAAGGTCGCATGCCACTGCTTTCTTCCAAGTCAGGGCCGTGGTACTTTTTACATTTTGCACTCTCGGTATGCTAAGAGACGCTGGGGTGCCACACTTCTAAATTCAGCGTTGGGGTAGGATTCAGGCCTCAGACTTTCCTCAAAGGCACTTAGAGCAACTGGCGTAATTCTGACACAAAATGTGAAGGTCACTGATTTTGCAGGGGCAGGGGAGGGGGAAGGCATTTTGAAGATTCAAACTGGAGGGGAAAAAATATTTGCAGTGACATTTCTATAATTAAAATCTCATCCCTCTCCCCCTCCCAGACTGTCTTGTCGTCCACCATCCTCTTCTTCACACACAGAATTTAATCTTCCAACTGCTCATTAATGCTCAGCGGTGGGGCAGGCAGCTGATGGAGGATGCTAGAATTGTCTTGGGAGTAATAGCAGTGCCTCAAACTTTTCTAAGGCCAGAACAGAGTTCCTGAGCCATGACTCTTGCTCGCATGCCCTCAAAGAGAGCAAAGAGAAAATGGAAACTCCCAAGTTTCAGGCAATGTATTTTCCTCTGGAACTATTTCACCATTAAAATGTTACAGAGGAGCAAAAAAGGAAAAGAAAAAAAAAAAAGAGGAAGGTAGCCAGGGAGATCTGAGGGTCAATTTTTTCTTAATGAAGGAAAAACTAAATATGAACCAGGTTCCTTCTTGAGACTATGGAGAGGGTAAAGTCATAAGAAGGTGGAGGTATTATAGAGGGGAGGGATGAGTGTGGGGGTGGGGTTCAGGGATCTGTGTGCTGGCTTTGGCTTTGCCACTATCTGGGGTGGGAGCCTCAGTCATAATCACTGGCCATCAAGTTCCTGGTCTGTCAGAGGAATGGGGCAAAGGTTAGCCAGATTGGTGGTTTTAAAACTCTTTTCACTGCAGAATCCTACCTTCAAGTGATATCTCTTTTTTTAATGTTTCTTTCTTTCTTTTTCTTTTTTCTTTTTTTGAGAGAGAGACAGAGTGCGAGTGGGGGTGGGGGGCAGAGAGAGAGGGAGACGCAGAATCTGAAGCAGGTTCCAGGCTCTGAGCTGTCAGCACAGAGCCTGATGGCAGGTCTCGAACCCACGAACCGCGAGATCATGACCTGAGCCAAAGTTGGACGCTTAACTGACTGAGCCACCCAGGTGCCCTCAAATGATATCTTATTTAGAACCTAACAAATAAAAGAGATCAAAGCAGTACGGCTGGTGTGGAAGGTCTCGCGCTCAGTCCTTTCGTTCTTCCCATCTTCCCAGACCTGGCCCCTGAGGTTTCTCTGAAGAACTCAATTCAGATAGGTTGAAAACCAATGAGCCAGATTCTCTTTACTTCCAAAAATGTAAGAGTCAAACAGGAGTCTTCTGGAAAGAAACCAAATTCCACCAAAAAAGTCAAATTTTAATCAAGCAAAGGATATGTTACACTGAAGTTAGTGGTGAGTAAACCAAAGCTAACTATTCATTTTTTTTCCTTAAAATTTTTTTAACGTTTATTCATTTTTGAGACAGAGAGAGACAGAGCATGAATGGGGGAAGGTCAGAGAGAGAGGGAGACACAGAATCTGAAACAGCCTCCAGGCTCTGAGCGGTCAGCACAGAGTCTGACACGGGGCTCGAACTCACGGACCGGGAGATCATGACCTGAGCCGAAGTCGGACGCCCAACCGACTGAGCCACCCAGGCGCCCCCAAAGCTAGCTATTCAAACCAACTCATCAATAGGACCTTCCTTACCTCAAGTTTAATGATGTATATAGTATAGAGGTTCAGTAAAAGAATTAAGTCGAGCTATAAAGTACTCATGAGACCTAAGATCTATGCTAGAAAAATCACTCTTAAATTTTTTTAATGTTTTTTTTCTTTCTTTAAAAAAATTTATTCTTGAGAGAGACAGAGCATGAGGGAGGGAGGGAGGGGCAGAATGAGAGAGGGACACAGAATCCAAAGCAGGCTCCAGGCTCTGAGCTGTCAGCACAGAGCCTGACATGGGGCTCGAACTCACAAGCCATGAGATCATGTCCTGAGCCGAAGTCGGACGCTCAACCAATTGAGCCACCCAGGCACCCCAAAAAAGTTACTCTTATATACAAATAAATGTAAAACATGTTAGCAGTTAGAAAGTAAAGCCCAAGCTAATTCTACAAACATGAGCCAGATTAAGCTTCCAAATGCCACTTTTATATTAATCTCTGATCAGAAACCTCCTCAGGTTTCCTACAGTCTCTTAACTAGGCTTGTACAGAATTTGTTCATTCCAAACCCCATAATAGGGAGTGTTTCAAAATAAGAGAAAATCAGGTCACCAGGTGTTGGAAGCAGAGATGAGTATATGCTTTGTGGAACACAGTCCTGCAATCTGCTTTGGAAACCTATAGTAAGTGAACCCTAAAAGCCTTGAGCAAGATCAGCAACGTTGATTCAGGGTCTCCATTGAGCATGAAACCTGGAG